CCAGCATGTCGGCACGCGCCGAGTTGCCCTGCACCGCCGTCGCTCCATTCGGTGGGCCGTCCACACCGTCCTCGTGCATCGCCTCGTCGCGCGCTTCGCCGCCAGAACCCAGCCCGAGCTCCACGCGGTCGCCAAAGTCGCGCCGCTGCATGACGCGCGAGAGCAGGTTGTACAGATGCCACGGCAGCCGCGCATCTGCATTGGACGCGCCAAACGCACACGCATTCAGCGCAGGCTCCAGCCCGTACGCCGGGTCGACGTACAGCTTGATGAGCTCGAACAGCGCATCGCGGTCGTAGCCGCCGGCCTTCTGCAGCAGCTGCCGCAGCTTGGTCGCACCCACGCTCGAGCTCTCGCGGTACCACGGCAGCGGCGGAGCGATGCACGTGTTCTGCGGCGCCGCCGGTGCCACCTGCGCCTCGTACCGCTCGAACGCGCGCTCGAGCGGCGCCTCGTACGCCGACTCGTACCACAGGAACAGCCCCAGCGCCCGCTTCCAGTCGAGACCCTCGCAGATCGCAAGGTCGCCCACCTGGTCGATTGGGTCCTTGGTCGTCCGCGCATCGGTGCCCGGCGACAGCAACACGTTGCCCGAAAGCAGCTCGTAGATGCGGCGGTGGTCGCGGGTCATGTGCGCATCCACACCCTCCTTGCGCCACGTCAGCAGCTGCTCGCTGATGTCGGCGCGCACCTCCTCGTCGCCGCCCGCCTGGGCAATGAGCGTGGCCAAGCGCAGATTGCCCGCCTCGATCGCCGCGTTGACGGCGCGCTCCACCTGGTGGCCGCTCAGATAGCTGAAGAGCAGCGCCGCACGGCGTGACGCCGCGATGTGCGATCGCGCCTCGGTCTCCACCGTCCCCGCCACCGTGTGACGCAGCCAGTCGGACAGCGCCGCCTTTCTGCGCATGTTGCGGATGCGTTCCGCCGTGGCAGCGTCCGCGCCCGCGGGCACGCGCAGCTCGATCTCGTCGAACAGCGCCACGCCCAGCCGCCACAGGCTCGCCTCGAAGCTTCGGTCCTTGTGCTCGAATGACGAGGCAAAGTGGCGAAAGCGCGTGCCAAAGTCGGTGTACGCCACAGGCACGCCGTCCTCGTCGAGCTCCACCTTGGTCTGCTCAAGCTGGACGCCGAGCAGCTTCTGCGCGCGCTCCGCCTCCTCTTTCGACGTCTCGACGTCCTTGAACAGCTTGACCTTCTCCAGCGTCAGGGTCGACGTGCTGGCAGAAGCCGCGACCTCGGCTTCAGTCTTGGCAGCCGACGACGCCGGCTCCATATTGGCCCCGACGATCCTGCCGTTGTGCACGAGCGTGCCATCGGGCCCCCATCCGACGCGGAAACTGCGTCCGAGCGAAAGGCCGGCATCGAGCGTCTCACCATCGGCAGCCACCGCAGCCGAGCGTGCCACGTCGGTCTTGCGCAGCTTTTTGGCGGGCTGTTGGACTTCCTGAACGGGTGCCGGGTGTGACTTTGCGGCAGCCTCGGAGCTCGGCTCCTGGAGCGCCGGTGCCTCGTCGGGCGTCGGCTCGGCGGCTTCGAACGGCTTGGCAACGGCGGTTGACGGCGCAGCGGCCGTCGGCCGCAGGTTGAGCGTCTTCTTGTGGCTCAGGCTGGCTCCCATGGGTCTAGCGGCAACGACAGCAGCGGAAGCTAATGTACTGTCGTCCTGCCCAAAAAAACTCGCCTGCATGACCTGGACGCGGCGCGCCTCGGCGGCGTTGGCCATGGTCGACATGGCGCGCGACGGCGTGGCGCTGCCCGCGCGCTCGCGGCCCGAGACGCTCGAAGAGGGCGTCCACTGGCGGCGCTGACGGTGCTTGGCAGCGGCGACGGCAGCCGCAGCGGCGTGGCTGGCGTCGTCGTCCGTGTCCATGTCGCCGTCATCGAGCCCTCGTAGCGGAGGTGGGGCATCGTCGTCGTCTTCTTCGCTGCCTTCGCTGTATGCGGCTCCGATGGCAACTGCGTCGTCATCAGACTCGCCGTCGTCGGTTGACATGGGCGCGAGGCGCTTGCTCGCGGGACGCTTGTTGCCAGCGGCAGCAGTTGCCTGCGCAGCTCGCTTGGGCGCCGCCGCGGCCGCATCGTCGTCCTCGTCCGAATCGTCGAGGCCGTAGCGACTGAAGTGCTTCACCTTGAACGTCCAGGTGCCCGACTCGGGCTCAAAGTCGACGAACTCGGTCTCGGACTTGTTCTTGAGCTTGTTGACCATCTGCTTGACGCGCGGATGGTCGGCATCCTTGATGGGCTCGCGCGTGGCGCGGTCGGTGGGCCAGCATGCGTCGAGGCTGACGCGTGCGGGCACATTGAGACCGGTGCCCTGCTTGGCCTTTAGGCCCGGCACGAAGTTTCGCTTGGCGCCGTCCTTGGGGTTGCGCGGGTCAAAGTCGTCCTCCTCGGGATAGACGACGACCTCCTTGAGGCGAATCTGGACGATGCCGCCGACAATGTCGTTGAGGTCGCCGATGGAGGTGAGGTCGACGGGCTCGAGGAACTCGATCTGGCCGACACCCTTGCGGCCGACGATAAAGTTGTGCACGGCGGCGAGCTCGTTGTAGTTGGCGGTGCGCAGCGCGGCGAGCGAAGGCTCGGTGTAGTACTCGCCGACCTTGGCGGTGGCAGCGCTGGATTCGTTCGAGACAGGAGCGGCGGACTTGACGCTCGGGGTCGATGGGGCGAAGGACGACTCGAGGTCACGGCCCTGGCGCGGCACACCAGCCTTGGCCGCGGCGGCTGATACGGTCTTGAGCGGGGTGTCTTCGACAACGGTAGGCGAGGCAGCACCAAAGAGGTTGCCGCGGCGCGAGGGGAGCGACGAGGCGAACGAGAGGTCTCCGCCGCCGGGACGCACCGACTCGGCACGCTGCTCGAGGGCAGGGCTGAACGTGACGCGCGACGCCGAAGATGGCTGCACGGTGCCGCTGCGGAAGGCCGATGCTCCGAGCGAGCCGACTGCAGGGCTGCTGCCCGTGTCAAAGTGAGGCACGCTGCCGCTGCGGCCGATGCGCGAAGCGGTGAAGCTGTTCTCGCCAGCGTCGTCGAGCACGAGTCGCTTGGCCGACGGCCGCGAGACAAACGCCTGCGACGAGAGCGGCTGGCTGTACTCGTCGCTGAGCGCCTTGAAGAGCGCGGGCGAGCCGGCTCGGCCGGGCGTGCCGAAGCGGGTGTTTGCGCCGGAGGTGCCTTCGCGCAACGAGCCAGGCGTGCCCTCGCGGACGAAGCTCGAGCTGCCGAGACCCGAGGCGCCAGGAGTGGAGCCGCGGAGACGG